GAAGACTTGCGTGGCACATGCCTGGATGGGAGCAGAGAAGGATCAGATGGGCGCAGAGAGGGGGCGATGACGGTTGAGATGCTCTTCAAGCGCATGTGGGCTCCGGCGCCGCTTGCATGCATCCCGCGACATTTTGGCCCCTGTCCATCTGTGCCCTGCAGCTCACGGTCTGCTGCCTCATTTTTCCATGCACGGCTTCCCCTCAACTTTCCTCCCGCTCCAACCTTTTGCTCTCTTTCGGCAGACCCACCGAGCTTTCCCTCAACCTGCCACATCTCTCCTCACGCACCCTTGCTTCCTTCCCTACCCCGCTCAGACGCCAGCGCCTTGGCCCCCATCTTCAATACCGGTCCAGCATCTTCCCTCAAGTTCCTTCCCTTGACGCGATCAGCTTTACGACCACCACGAAGCATCGCCAGCTCGAGCGAAACGGCCCGACACGACGACTAACGACATCATCGCTCACTGCAACCAAGGATCAGCGCCGAGCAAAGAGCCAGCTTCCCGAGAATAGCTCCTGCATCCTATCGGCATCTCGTAGACCACCACAGATCCTTGTCGACACGCAACCATGTGGTGTGACAACTGTCTTCTGCTCTTCCCATTGCGCAGCGGCGCGATGGTGTGGAACGTGTTCATCGCCGCGTACAACCTTGCCGGCTCGATCCTGCTCTTCCAAAAGGGGCAGTTCCTCTTCTTCAACTACCCCGAGTACCAGATCTACGGCGGTATCGGCATGGCGGTCATGGCGATCTGCATCCTCACCACCGTGGGCATGGCCAATAACTCGTACATGTTTATGCGGCTCTGCTTCTTTGTGTGGCCGCTCATCCTGATCGTCGTTGCGGTGCGCGCCGGGTTCATGATGTTCCAGCTCGACCGCCAGCAGACCAAGATTGTATGGGAGTGCAACAATGGTGGTCAGCTGTGGGGCACGCAGGGCGAAAACACGGGGTCTACCGATACCATGCCTTCGGGTCTCTGCTCGGCGGGATTCCACAGCCTGTACATCGCCTTTGTCTTTTCGCTGCTCATCGACTTTGGCCTGCAGGTGTACGCCTACTTTATGTGCTGGCGCTTCAAGAAGAGGATCGAGCACTACTACGCCCTGGCTACCAAGGAGAACAACATCTACAACTTTTAGGCGTGCACGCTCATCGCTTTGTAGAAGCCTGGGCTGGCCGCTTTCCGCCATGGCAAAAGCAGGCCACCAGACAGCCTCAGCCGGGCCTTGCAATCAGGCGAGCTCATTACTTTGCACCCAGACATCCCTGCTGGTTCGGCACGCGCAGGATCAATCTCGATCCACCGCCCAAGCCCAAGCTCGCCTTGCATCGACCTCTTTCCCCCCGTCGACCTCGATCGACGAGCATCCATCACATCACGGACACTTTGACGCCTTCCATTTCATTCCGATCTTCCCCAGACCCCACCAGCCGGGAACATCACCCTTTTCCTCGCACACTTTTTCTCCAATGTTGTAACGATACCAAGCTTGACGAACTCGAATGACCACGCATATCCCCCTCGGCCATAGTTCCTTTGCGATCCCGCATAAGAAGGCGTGAGTCCTGCCTGTGAGCATTTACGATTGCAGGACCCTACTGCCGCTCCCAGACCCACCTGCAGCGTGGATGCAGACGTGGTCGCGAGTCTTGCACCAAAGCCTCTGGATCAGCTCAGGGTCCATAGCCCGACCCGATCGAACGATTCCATCCCGATCGGTGCACGCCGATCTTGGCATGGCACCTCTTGCTCACCCACGAGTCCAGGTCGGAGACTGAGCGACTCTTTCCGCGTGGCCGGCTTATCAATCAGCGCGCTGGCGGGTGGGCGTGCCGATTTTGCGGGGTATGGCACGTCGGATCAAGGCGCGAGCGTCGGATATAGCCGCCTTGCTTCGCGGAGTAAGGGCAGGGCAGGTCGTATGACACGTCGGAATTGGCTATTCAGCGCTGGGCGGCGGAGTGGCAAAGGTCGGAAATGCGACACTACAGTAGCACACCGTCTGGCGTCTAAATCCGACAGGCGCACACGGGTGGCGGTCCTTGGTCGCCGAGAAGCCCGTCCGCGATTATCGCGAGCTATCCTTCGCGTTGTTTCACTCTGGACGCAAACGAAAGCGATGGTGGACAATGCTGTATCAATGCTGGCGTTTCATGGGACTTGGCGAGGGATTGGTTGGGGGAGGGCGGACAGGTGGAAAGAGGAAACCGAGCTCGGCATGTTGGCCGGTCAACCTTGCGTGAGTTTGCGGATCTGCAGCAGCCGCCGACGGACGGGAAGACGGCCGGCGCGTGTTGTGGGATAGAGGGTGGGAGAGGCCAATCCGAACGCCGACTTTGCCAGTGTTTGACAAGCGAGCGCCCACTCTTCCCAGAGCCTGAGCGTGGGGGATCAAAATGGCAGCCAAGCCCTGTCAAACAAGCGTCACGAGTCATGAGCCAAAAAAAAAGTTTCGGAATTAAACTCTGGCAGTCCAGGCCAACAGCTGTTGGACAGCTCTGGCGGTGGCAACAAGCGCAGAGATGCGACCGCCGAACAAACGGCCGAGATACGAAGCCTCGAATCGTCGTATCCATTCGACAGCGATAGTGTGATAAGCCGTCCAAACACATCGGTGCTGCCAAGCGGCTCGACTTGATGGAAACAAGCGCAAGATGAAACGTGGGAAGGCGAAGAGCGGGCGTCTTTTCACTGCGGGAAGCTTTCGTGTGTGGGTTTGTACCACTGCTGGGATGAAAGAGATGAATTCCTGAAATTGCCCCGCAGCCAAAGCGTAGGCGTAGCACAAAGGACAGCGCCGGCGGAGAGTGGAACAAAGAGACCCTTTTTTTGCGCTCGCCGGGCCGGTGTCAGTTGCACATCCATCTCAAGAGCTTTTGCCGAGAGCGTGCACAACTCGCCGCAGAGCCAAAGCCACATGCACACTGCTCGTGCTCGTGCTGGGTGAGATCGCTAGCTATCAGCATCCGTGTGGCAAAGGTGTGTGCTACCCCGCATTTCTTTGCTGCAAGATACCCAGCAGTGGCCTATCTCCTATCACCCTGCTTTCCTGCTTTGCAAGTTGCAGCTTGCTTGATCTCCGCCATCTTCCCCCCTCCCGCACGACCAGCACACCTGCCGCTGCACCGTCCTACCAAGGTGCATGGCTCGATCAGGAACGCTCCATTGCAACCGCTGTCATTCCGCCGCCGCCGCCTCGTACCACATCTCTCGATAGCCGCCTCGGCGCACGCAAGCCTGAGCTTGTCTGTCACTGTTCCCAGCAAACGCTTCATTTGGCAAGCCTTCCTCCTTGGTTGCCCATATAACCTCGTCCCTCCCCTCCCCTACCGTCCCCTCTCCACTTCCTTCACCTTTCAACAACAGCCCCCTCCATCCAAGCACCCTCTTCATCAGGGGATCCACATCTAGACCATGGGCAAGCTCCACCAGGTGCGCGTGTTCTTCCTCGGCGAGGCGCCGCCCACGGCGCTCGAGCGCCGCCTCGTCCGCAAGATCGATCTGGTCGTCATGACGTTCTGCACGCTCCTCTTCCTGTCCAACTACCTCAACCGCGCCAACTTCAACAACGCCTACCTCACCGGCATGAAGGAGGACCTCAACTTCCGCGGTAAGCAGTTTAACCAGGTCAACTCCATGTTCACCGCGGGCTACATTGTGGGTCTATGGCCGAACAACCTGATTCTTCAGGTGGTGCCTCCTCGGATTTGGTTGCCCTTCTGCGGTGCGATGTGGGGAGTGCTATCGGCTTGCTTGGCGGCCTGCAAGACGCCACAGCAGGTGATGGCGATTAGGTTCCTCCAGGCGCTGTTTGAATCGAGCACGTTCACTGGATGCCACTGGATCCTCGGGTCGTGGTACAAGGAGGCAGAGCTGGGCAAGAGGAGTGGAATCTTTTCGACGTTCGCACAGATGGGTAGTTTGTGGTCGGGAGTGATGCAGGGGAGGATCTCGCAGACGATGAACGGCCATCTGGGGTTGAAGAGCTACCAGTGGCTGTTTATCATCGACTTTTGCATCGCCATCCCCATCGCCGCCTTCGGTTTTGCGCTCTTCCCGGACACCCCTCGCAAGACCAAGGCTTGGTTTTTGTCCGAGGAGGAACGTCAGTGTGCAGTCGAAAGGCTTCCTGCGCATCAGCCGACCAAGATGTCCTGGGATCTGGTCAAGCGCGTATTCGGACGATGGCACATCTACATGTTCGGTCTGCTCTTCGGCTTCGGTAGCATGCTCGAGAGCGCAGGCATCAACAGCGTCATGGGCTTCTGGTTCAAGTCGATGAAATTCTCCAAGGCCCAGATCAATTACTACCCGCTGTCGCTCATCAGCATTGCGATCGTCACGACCATCATCGCCGCCTACACCACCGACTACCTCCGCAGCCGATGGTGGGTCAACCTCCTGATGGCACTCATCATCACCATGTCCTCAGCAATGCTCCTGGCGTGGGACATCCCTTACGGCGCCAAGTTCTTCGCCTTTGCCATTCAGGGCACCGGCTACATGGGGCAGGCCACCAACTTTGCCTGGGCCAATATCGTGTGTGCTGCCGACGAACAGGAGCGCGCCATGGTGCTCGCGGGCATGAACGTCTTCAGCAACGTCGTCAACTCGTGGTGGAACATTGTGCTTTGGCCGGCTACCGATGCGCCAAGGTACCGCAATGGCTGGATTAGCATGTTCCCCCTCGCCGCGTTCGTCGTCGTCGTCGCACTTGCCATTGTCGCCCTCGAACGAAGGGATCGAAGGAACGCCGAGGGCCCCTATGCAAAGGACGAGGCGCAGCCCAACACGCATACGCTCCACCAAGAAGGCTCCGAATCCGACTCGGCTTCGATCAAGGACAAACCCACCGCCTCGCTCTAGCCTTCCCCGTGCTTCCGTTTTCCTTTGATGTCCACTGTTGTAATGGCAAACCGTGATTCGATGTAAAAAGACTGCAATGCTGGGCGAGAGAAAAACTTAAAAGTACATGACGACCCGGGATCCCACATCTAACGCTTGCGCTCCTTGCTGAACTTGTACACCTTCTTGGCCGTCGTCGCGCCCTCCTCGTCGTCCTCTTCCTCTGTCAGCGCCAGGCCGTTCTTGGTCATGGTGCCGCGCGCCACTTTGTCGGCGAGACTGTTCTTGCGCGCCGTGACGACGCTCGAGTGTCCGCCCTTGTGCGTCATGAGCGCCCGCACGAGGTTCAGCTTCTCCGCCGCAGTCTGCAGCTGGTCGAGGCGCGCATAGCGCGAGGCGAGCTCGGTGGTGAGGTAGCCCAGATGCTTGTTGCCCTTGCGCAGCGCCGTGTTGGGCGTCGTCAGATCGTCCGCCTCCACCTCGATGTCCGACGAGTCTGACAGCTCGTCCACCCAGCTGCTCTCTTTTCTCGGCGTTGTTGGTGTGGACAGCGTGCCTGATGTCGAGGCCGAGGGAGCGGTGTATGTTCGAAGCGCATCTGCATCGTCGAGCCACACGGTCTTTTTGCCCTGTGCGCCGATCTTTGCCACGGCGGACTTTTTCGCCTTGCCCGGCGCCGCAATCAGTCCTGCGCGCTCCAGGGTCGGTCTTCGGTTGTCCTTCTCGTCGAGCCACTCGACGGGCAGGTTGGGGATGGAGGGGGCTATGCGTTCGACGAGGCCGTGGATGCGTTTCTTCTCCGCCAGCAGTGCCGCACGGATGTAGCCGACGTCCTGCGTCTTGAGCAGAGCCACCACGTCGTTGTCGAGCTGCTCGGAGGGGCGCGCGTGCTGGTGCACGCCGTTGCGCGTGGACGAGTTGATCATGCCAAAGTAGAACTCGTCCTTGTTGCGCATCGCCGCCTTCTCGGTGAGCCGCTTGAGCATGTCGCGCTTCTTGTGGTGGTCCTTGGCACGCAGCACGTAGTCCTTGTGCTTCTCAAGCAGGCCCAGCTTGGCCCGCCCCACGGGCTGCGACCGCTCCTTGTGGTTGCGGCGCTGCACCGCATTGCGCAGCGATGATCCCGCCATGATGGGTCGGAAAGGTCGTTGTGGGTGGCGGTGTCGGTGTCGCTGCGAGCAGAGTTGATCAAAGTGCAGATATGGATGCGGATACGGATGCGTGTAAGGTGCTTCTTCTGTATGATGAGCGGTTGGGTATAGATGCAGAAGCTGGTGGCCGAGATCGGATGGTTGCGAAGAGTGAAGCCGTGGCGGAGAAGCTGCACTGTGCTCAGCCGTTCCAAAAAAGTTCAGCCTGACCGCCCCGCCAAAAATTTCCAGGAATCGCTCGGCGAGGTGCTGCACGTGACTGTAGACCCTGAATTCTCCACTCGGCTCTCTTTCGGCCTCACGCTCCGATTCCTGGCTCTCTCACACATCGTCGTGGCAGACAGAGTAGTGGACTGGATTGCATGCATCAGAGGTCTTTGCCAACAGTGTACTGGCTGAGATCCGTATCCGGTCTGCGAACCCAAAATCGAGCGTCAGAAATGTCAGTTATCCGTCAATCGTGTGTGCAGAGCTTGGGCTGGGGGGAATACGCACTCTAGCTGGCCGTTTTTGGGGTTCCTGCGTGCCGAGAAGAAGGTGTAGCTGAGCACGACGTCGTCGACGCCCTTTGTGCTTGGGTCATCGAGCACGTCCGAGTCGATAAAGAAGAACACGGGCAGATCCACCTCCTCGCCCGCCAACAGCTTCTGCTCCTCGAAACAGAAGCACTCCACCTTGGCAAAATACGGCGCAATCTGTCACCCCGCGCAATCACGATAGGCATCAGCAATCCAGCATCTACACTCTTGGTTCAGCTCTCGGGCTTGGGGGAGGGACTTACTCTGTCGGGGGAGACGTTGTAGGTGGCAATACCGATGATGTCCTTGGTGCTCTTGTTCTTGGCGGTGTAGAATGCGAGTGCGGTCTCACCGGGCAAGACATAGATCTCCTTTTGCTGCGGGGTGAATGACCATGGGATGGCGTCGGAAGCGTCTGCGTTGAACGTGACCCTGATTCTCTTGGTGGGAGCGTTGGTGCTGGGATCCGTGTACGCCGGAACGAGTCGCGAGGGGGCGAAGCGTTCCGGATCTGTGATTGGCGTTCCCGAGAACCCGGTCGCCGAGCAAAACGCGCGGTACAGGGGTACGGCTGCATAGCTGAATCCGAGCGTAAACATCATGAGTGCAGCCGAGTACATGAGCAGCGACTGGTTGCGGCGCTTGTACGATTCGCGCTGTCGACGCTGCATCTCCTCGGTCATTGAGGCCGCCCGGCTTGCGCGACTGCCTGCGGCTCCGATGGGACTCGGACCAGGCGTGGGCCTGGGTGTCGCAAACGCTCGTGAAGATGTGCTGAAGGAGGACACGCCGATTCGAGCACAGATCGGAGAGCGTGCTGGAAGACTAGCCTCGCGCGCCCAGCCATGTGCCAGCCGAAGCAACGGCGAAGTGGCTGGTGCGCGCATCGGAACACCGACAAGCTGGCTGCGCCCTGCACTGGCCAGTGCTACAGAGCCTGCTCGTGCCACTGACCTTCCCAACATCGTCGGTCGACTTGGAAAGCTGCTGTGGTGTGTATCGGTGGTGACGAGGTGAAGAGTGGGGTTGTGGAGGCGAAGAACCAGGCTGCAGGTGGCGTAACAAAAGACTCGGCGGTGCTCGGAAGGTAAGCCCAAAAATTCCCCCGACACCCGAAATCTGGGCGCTCCTTCACGCGCTTGGCTCGCTTAGCTGAGGCAGAGGCTGCCCAAATCTGGCTGCCATGCACCTGCTGCATTTGACTCCGCAACATGCTCATATCCTTGCAGCAGAGAGGCGGTCTCATACGACGCAGACAGCACACGATGGCGTCAGATAGAAATACATTATATTGTACAATCCTTGCTGCTATCCATTCCGCATGGAATCATGTCGATCCACGGCGAGCATGCGAGGAGGAGCCCGTATGCGGGACCGGCACCTCTTGAATCTGCTCGAGGGGAAAGTCGGCATCGACGGGCGAGGTGGTAAATGCGCTGGCAGTGCCTCTGCTCCTCGTGCTTCCCGTGGCGCCCTGCGATCGCGAATCAAGCGACGACGTCCAGCTCTCCTCGCGGATCGCGTGCAGGCCTCCCTCGGACGGGCTCACCGAGAGCTGTGCCACGCCCCCAAGCACAGCGGGCAGTCCGAGGGGCGAAGCACCTCCGATCGCCGCTAGCACGTTGGGATGCATGAGCGGCGACAGGTTCACTGGCGCACTCGTCGAAGCACGCTGCTCGAGGTCCAGCGCGATGAGACCCGGAGGATGACTTCGGCTCTGGTCCGGGAACGAGGCCCACAGTCGGCGCTCTTCCGAGTCGTCGCTGCCCGCAGAAGCCTTCGAGTGGTTGCTGCCCGACGGAGAGGCCGATCTGCCCGCGTCACTGGCCGTCTGACCCAGCGGAGCCATCAGCAACGATCCACGCGCATCATCACCCTTTGCCAAGGTTGCTGCCTGGACGTCGCCACTGTCGGTGGTCGGGAGCGTCGTCGATGCCGACGTGGTGATGAGCGTAGGTACGCCTTCGGCATGCCCGTCCGAGTTGGGCAGAGACGTGTCGCCTGCCGCACTGCCCTTGAGCGACGAGGTGGAACCGGCAGCTGAAACCTTGCGCGAGCCGCCGCGCATGCCAAACAGCGACGCGATCCACGACTCGCCCTCGGCCCTACCGGCGCTGCCGCTCCTTTTGCTCGTCTCGGACGGCGACGCGTTGGTCATGCGGCCGAGCAACGAGTTGCGCCCGCGCTTCTTCGCCTCGGCACCATCGAAACTGACGCCGTCTTCGGAGGAGACCTCGTGGCCGTGTCCCGAAGAGCGCGGCCTTGAGTACGTGCCCGAGCGCCCGCCCTTGAGCGACGAGCCCAGCGAGGTTGTCGACCCGTTCTTCGCATCCGCCTGGGTTCGCAGTGGCAGCGTCGTCTTGGACGCCGCGTCCTCAGGCCTCTGCGCAAACAACTCTGGATTCGGTGCGACCGCTGTCCAGGAGCCGTGCTTGGTGTCGCTGCCGCCCTGATCGGGCGAGCCGGCCAGAGACGGATCCTTCGACAGGGCAAAGGACCCGAGCGGAGGCACAAACGCCTGCATGACGCGTCGATCATTATCGCCAAACTTGGGTCCGCCATGCTTTGCTGGGTCGCGCAACTCGCTTTCGGCGAGCCCGTCATCTTCGTCCTCCTCGTCGATCTGGCCGCGCAGCCAGTCTTCGGTCTCGGTTACCATGCCATGCGGATTGAGCGTGGCATAGTTGGCGGGCACCGGCGAGCTTCGGGGCCGCTTGCGCCCGCGCCACTCTCCGAGCATGGCTGAGTCGTTGGACGTCTGCATCGGCACCATAGGCGCAGCAGCAGGCACTCTAGACTCCTCAGCGTCTTGCATGCCGAGTGGAGCAAGTCTGGAAGCCGGCTCGGCCTGGGCGTGGCCCGGTCGAGTGAAGACGTCAGCCGCCGTCCTGGATGACGTGTATGCATCATCGTGGCTCTGGAGGGACGAGACGTGGGGCGAGCTGTCGGCAGCCGCATGCGGAGAGTCGTGCGAGCCAGAGTGTGCCGAGTTGAGCGCGGCGAGTCGGTTGAGCGAAGAGATAGACGAGGCGTCGCGCAGCTGCTCCTTGGAGCGCGGGCTTCGGCCGATGGGCAGCGGCGCCGGCGAGTAGGGATCGCTGACATCGCTGCGGCGGCCTTCATCGGAGGGCGATGATTCGTGGTGCTGCACGTGGAAGGGCTGCTGCTCCTGTGGAGCGGCAGTGACCACGCTGAGGGGCGCCCCGCCCGCTTGAGCCGCCGTCCACGTCTCGGGCTGCACGGCTTCGGGCGACGTGAGCGCCAATCCGGTCTGCGACTCGGAGAAGGTGAGGCCTGGGCCAAACCAGTCGCGGTCTCCCGATTGCGGGTCATAGGCACCTGCGCCATGGCTCTGGTCATATGGCATAGCTCCGCGGTTGTGCTCTGCGGCGCCTTCATTAAGCCGAGCGACTTCATGTGGGCGGTCGCCATGCCAGGTTTGCATAGGCTGGTGCAACAGGCCAGCGTCGAATAGAATGGCGCGGATGCGGTCTTCGGCGCGCCATCGCCAAGCCCAAGGCCGTTGAGCCGCTTGCTCGAGCCGGTCCTCGGCATCGCTCCAGCCCTGCGTGGGTGCTGGCTGTGAGCCAAAGTGGCGTGCGACGAGGCCACGGCGGCTGTGAGCGGCGAAACTGGTCATCTCAGTATCGGCCATCTCGTTGCGCACCTTCTCCTGCAGCACCAAGCTCTTCGGACCGATCGTGACTGCGAGGCCGATGTTGGAGATGAGCAGGACGGCGAGCTTCCAGGCGACCCAGGCTGCCTGAATGGTGATGATGATGAAGGCGAACTGCGTCAGCCTCTGCGTGGACTGGTCAAAGTAGGCGGTGTCACGCTGGCTTTGCGTAGGACGAGCGGGGCCGGCGGGCTTGTAGAGCACGAGCACGATCGCCGCAATGACGCCCCGAGGCAGGAGCGTCAGCACGGTGGGCCAGTTCTGCGAGTAGTACCAGAAGGACTCGATAAGCGCGTCGCGGCGCCCGCTGGTGGAGCGTGCGCGATACAGCAGGCTGTAGAGCGAGTAGTCCTTGATGGCCGTTCGAACAAAGGCGGGGGAGGATAGGTAGACGGGCATGGCAAGGGGCTGTTGCACGGTCCAGCGCCTGCGGAAGCTCCAGAGCGTCTCGTAGATGAGCACGACGCCGACGAGCCACGCGAGCACGCAGCCTGCGTAGATGCCGGTGGCTATCCACCAAGCCGTCCTGGTCCCGGACTGGAAAGTGTCTGGATGAAGTGCGATCTGGACGACGGCAAAGATGACGTTGTAGTCGAGGAACAGCGTGGCGGGAATGTAGGCGTAGGTGAGGAGGGGCAGGACGGTGTGATGCACTCTAGCCCAGCGGGAAGGGAGATGCAGCTGTGCGCGGTACATCGAGTAAGGAGGTGGGGGCAGCTTGGGGGCGAGGGAGTAGGCGTCGCCGAGGTGAGGCACGTGGGGAGTGCGCACTGCATCGTCTCGGGGCCGGTGGCCGTTGTGGTCTGCAAAGGCATGGCGATATTCCGCGTGGTGCGCTTTCTGGTCGGCCGGGTCTTGGTACATGTAGTATCCCCGCTGTTGTTGCTCTGACTGCCACTGCTGGTCGTTTGGCGCAGCATATGGGGGCTGGTTCTGCTGTTGCAGATTCTGTACGTCGTGTTGCGAAGGCGATGCATGGGGTTCTGCGGCCTGATGGTGGAGCGCGCCGACGAGCGACTTGCGCTGACCCGGAGGGAGCTCTGACAAGGTATTGCCAAAGACGGGGGTCTTTGCGCGCACTGACGCGGAGCGCGTGGGTGCATCGATGTCGGCGGGGTTAGGCGAAGCTTGACCATTGAGCGCATCGATGGAGTCGTGCGAGCCCTTGCCGGCAAAGAGAGGCGGATGCGATGCTTGACGAGGGGGAGAGTCGTCTTGTTCCGGTAGCGAGAGAGGGCGCAAAGCTGAGGGAGAGAGGGCATCCTGGGTCTGACGGCTGAGTCTGAGGTCGTGCCTTGGTGTGGAGGAGGATGCGAGGCTGCCGGTGGTATTGGTGAAGCCTGTGACGGTGGTGTTGGATTGGTGAGAAGCGCGCAGAGCCGCCTTGCCGGTGAGGGGAGAAGCGGTGCGGGAGTCGATCGCGGACGAAGTCGCGGGTGGGGATGTGACGAGGTTGCGCTGCTGGTTCATGCGGTCGAGCTCCTGCTGCTGGCGCTGCTGGCTGGGCGTGAGGGTCCTTGTGAGCACGTTGAACTGCTGATCGCCTCCAGCCTCGCCTACGCCGTATGCGACATCGCGGGAAGGGTCCGTGCCGCGACTGGAGGTGGTCTCGGAGTGGGTGGTGTCGTTGGGTGGACGGCTGTCTGCGCTTGCGGTGGTGGTGTGGCTCTGCTGGCGTGACGGAGTGCCAAAGGTGCGATCAGCAGTGTCCGAGGGATGTTGCGGATGGGAATGGCCAGGTGGCCTCCACATGTCTTGCTCGTCGATGCTGCTGGAGCCGGTGGTTGGAGTGGGAGAGGGGGTGAGGTTGAGCTGCTTTTCGAGCGCATCGATGAGGCGCTGACGAGGCGGAGGAGGAGGGGGCGGTGCGGATGCTTGGCTGAGGTATTCCGTGATTTCGTCGCTGTGGAGGGAGGACGAGGGCTGTATCCAGCTGGAAGCGAGATAGCCAAAGGCGCTGCGCTCTGTTGGACTGGTCTTGCGACGAGCCGAGGAGGAGGTGTGGTTGTCGCTGATGGCGCTGTGACCCGAGGTGCGGCCAAAGGTGTCGTGCGTGAGTTGCGCGGGAGGAGGGTCCAGGGATGAATCCTGTGCACGAGCCTGGTTGGAAGCGGCGAACCGTGCGGCGGCCTGCGCTGAGGATTCTGGGTGGTCTTCGTAATCCAGGTCGTTGGGACCGGGCGAAGGTGTTGGATAATCAGAGGGTGAGGAGTAGCCCCAGTCTGCGGGCGACTGACGACTGGCGGATGGCTGAGCGAGTCGGTCGGGTAATGGGAGTGGTGGTGGATGATTGCTGCGGCTCGGGTCGCGTCCAGAGATGTCGCTGGCCAGCTGCTGTTGATCAGCGGCAGCGACACTGGAGCGGAGACGGCCGTTCATGGTGGGCTGGCGGGGTCCGTTCCGGGTCGGAGAGGTGACGAGGTGATTGGGCTATGTGGTGGTAGAGGCGCACATTTGGCCGGTCGGTCGTGGATGGGGAGGAGGGTGCGACGGCGAGATGGTGTCGATGTGGTAGAGCGCAAGGCAGAGGATGGCCGGACTGAATGTCGAGGGTGGCGAGTCGGAGAGGACGCGAGAAGCGCGTAGATTGCGGCGATGATGGTCAAGGTGCGAAAGAGCGACGCGAAGGCATGCGAGGCATGCGAGGTGGGAGGGGAGCGTAGTGGATGCTGCTGCGGTGCGGGAATGTGAGGGTGGCGAAGCCAAGGTGGCTGTAGCTTTGCTTTGCTTGAATGATGAGCAGCATGGGGTCCGTGTTGGGCCGGCATGACTTTTGGCACGACAGCTCGCTTGCAGAAAAGCCGGGCGGATGTCGCGAAGCCGCGAAGCCGCGTTGGCAAAGAAAAACAACACGCTCCGCTCCCCTTGCGGGATGACGGGCGAGGCTATCGGAGCTCGAAGAGAGACAGAGAGCTGCAACGCCGATCCCCAATAATAAAATTTCCAGCCCAGAGAGTGCAGTGCCGTGCAGCCGTCACGGCCCGCCGCCATATGCATCGGAAGCGCTGCAGCTGCTGAGTTGTTGCCTTGGGCCCCCCTTGGAGTTGCAGATTTGGCTGGCGTAGAGCGACGAGTGAAGTGTGTTGACGCTTTGGCCGCTGCGAAATTTCATGCAACGCGCCGGAGAGAACAACACCTCTGCAGAGGGGCGGCGCGCTTTTGCTCTGCATTTGCTCTGCATTTGTGCTGCATTTGGGCTGCATGAGCCCTGCAGGTGCGGATTGGCCGATGGAATGCGGCCTCCGGCTAGCCGCACTTCCGCTGCTGTCGTTCTGGCTGGCATGCCGTCGCAGCTGCAGCTTGCGCGTCGGCTCCTCCGCTTCCACCCTCTTTGCTCGCTCTTTGCTCGCTCGCTCTGATGCTGGATATCCATCGCTGGCATTCGCAATCGCAATCGATTGCCTCAGCATTCGCCATCGCGAACCCCCCGTTTGAGGCCGTTGCTCTGCAACGAATTGCAGCAACTCGGATTCGGCATTTGGCGAGCTTCGAGGCTGTGTTTGGGCGGATGCGCACCTCCACCTCGCCAAGCCAAGCCGCACCCTTAATTGGTTTATTGGGGCCGCAGTTGACCGCGCGTTGCTGTGCTCGCCTCGCCCGCTGCACCGCCAGCATTCGGCTTTTCTTTTTCTTTTTTTTTTCGCCCTTCCTTCTTGCTCTTCCTTCGTGTCTCAGCTGCGGTCTTAGTGTTTCTTTCGACCTGCTTCTGGGATGCTTCTGTTTTCGACCGCTCGTCTGGCCCGAAATTCGGTTCGCCGTGAGAAAGTCGACGGTCTGCAGCCGAATGATAGCGTGGCTGGGCATGGGAAAGTGGCAGGCAAGCGCGCGCGTGCGTGATGAGGCGGTGGCGTAGAAAGCGGCCGCCAAGCTCTGTCTGTCTGCGCAGACCTTCAGCCTTTCTCTTTCTCTTTTGTCGCGCCGAGACCATGCTAAAGCCACCGCAGACTGTAGCTTTCGAGTTGCCCCGCACGCGGGCTGTGCAATCTCCTCTCTACCGTCAGAACATAGCGGGATGCGCCAGCAAAAGACCCGACGATGAGATTCATTCGCCACCCGGCGTGGGCGCGCGGACTCCGCTTCATCTCGACCGGACCGGCGCAGGGACGCAGCCAGCTGGCGTGTGCGTGTGTATATGCAGGAACCGGCCGCAGGCAAGTCCCCACTTTCGGGTGGCCCAGGTCGCCATGAAGGGCCCGGCAGATATTGGACCCTGAGGTGCACCCTCTGCAGCCCACCTCTTGGCACTCACCGCTGCAGCGCGCTATGATACCGGCCATCCGATCGCCACCCCGGAAATCCACTGCAGCTGGCTGCACGCCCTCGTTGTCACCCAAGTGCGGCAACCCAACAGATCTGCAACATCCGTCGCCTCAACTTGTTCTTCCGGACGCCGTTCGTCCGCAGCATGCCGCTACGCCGATGCGCCCAGATCCACAGGTGGCGCTCAGCCTTGAGGTGGCAGCCAACCGGTTGAGCGGTGAGTGTGGGTGGGCGAAAACCCACTGGCTGTTAGAAAAGTGGTCTGACACTCGAGAAGGTGAAAAAAAGGGAAAAACGGGCGTCACGCGTGGAGGTTCAGCCGCGATCCGCTGGGCTGCAAGCAAGAAGAGCAGCAACTCGCGCGGGCCATGTCTGTGTTCCACCGCAACACCTCATTTGGGCGGGGCTGCACCATCTCCACCTGCTCACCACCACTGCATATCTCCGGCTCAGCACGAAACCATGCCGGCGGTCAAGCGCAAGGCCGCCGTGTCGACCGCGCCTTCCGATGGCGACTCGGACGCCGACCTCGAGATCCCCACCACCACGCGCACGCAGCCAGCCCGCAAACGTGCGCACATGGACTCGCTCAACGCCGAAAGCGTGCTTCGCATCCTACCGCGCACGGCCTTCCTTCGACACTTTCCCAGCCAGAAGCGTCGGTGTTTGGCCACTCTCGCCGGCGATCTGCCTCCCCAACGCAGTCGGCACAGCGGCGAGCCCGCCAGCTCCGCCGATGCGAGCTACGCCAAGGCGTGCGTGGGGCTCAGCGACGAATGGCATACACTGCACACCATGCTCAAAGCCACCGTGACGGCGCAGGAGAGCAACAGCGCCCTGCTGATCGGTGCGGCGGGGGCGGGAAAGTCGCTCCTCGTCGACTCGGTGCTACGCTCGCTCGAGGCCGAGTTCTACCATGTGCGGCTTGCGGCGAGCGTGCAGATCAACGACCGGGCGGCGATGAAGGAGATGGCCCAGCAGCTGATCTTGCAGGGCGCTTTTAGCGAGCAGGATGTTTCCGATGCCATGGACGACCCCACGGACGAAGACGAGTCTTCCGCCCCACGGAACGATCAGGACCATGTGTTTGGGGGGGATGGCGAGAGCGATGACGAGGCGGTGGACGAAGAGGCCGAGATGCAGCACGAGTTGGCAGGTGCGATCCTGTCATCGCTCAACAACATCATCGCACACATCATCGCGTTGCTCTCCAATACGGCAAGCAGGCGTGCACGCAAGCCGTTGGTGATTACTCTGGATGACTTTGACCTGTTCACGGCACGGCCCAGGCAGGCGTTGCTTTACTGCCTGCTGGATGCGGTGCAGGCTGCATCGTACGGCGCTGGTCTGGCGGTAGTGGGCATGACGAGCAGGGTGGATACGGTGGATCTGCTGGAGAAGCGCGTGAAGAGTCGGTTCTCGCACCGGATCGTCCACGTCAGGCCGCCGAGGGACTACGATACATTCGAACAGATTGTTCGCAATGCGCTATCGCCACCCATGGAGGGGGATAGCGCGGGGGAGAGGGAGGTGAATACGGCGTGGGAGGCGGATATGAGCCTGGTGCTTTCGCACCCACCTGTGCACGATGTCCTGCGTGGGCTGTACGAGCTTTCCAACGACGTTCGTATGGCATATCGCATCCTCCTTCCCGCCGTAGCTGCTACGACCACAAAAGATCCTTTGTTGGATGTAGAGGTCCTTATCGAAACGGCGGCGATCGAGGTGGGTGATGGCATGTCGCACATCCTTCGCGACCTGACGGAGCCGGAATTGGCGCTGCTCCTTGCTATTCGGCAATTGCAACTTCGCGATCGGGTGGTGTTTAACTTTGAGATGGTCTTCGACGAGTTGCGTCGGTTTGCCGCGCGGGATTCTCGAGACCGTCAATCTGCCGCCACTTCAGGATCCTCGGGTTCGGTGGCGAGTGCATCGTATGCGGATCGAAAGATCGCCCTGTTGGCATTTCACACCCTGCTGGGACTCGAACTGTTGCTACCCGAGAATTACGTGACGACGCTGACGATCAGCAATCCCGTCGCAAAGCCAAGCGCGACTCCAACGGCGACCCAGACGGGAAGGGCGAATCAGAATACCATCAGGAAGGAGTTTTGGAAGGTCCGTTGCGTCTTGCAGCCCAACACCATTGCTGCAGCTGCAAAGGATAGGTCTAGGCCAATCGCCGTCACTTCGTCGCTCGAGAAATGGGCTTCGCATACGTAGCCCTCCTGCAATCACAGGTATTCTGGGTCACCACACCAGTCGTGAGACAGGAGAGCACCATCCTAGTCAAGTTTCATTGCGTCCGAGACCGTTCCCCGGAATTGATCCACACAAAGCTCATTGACAGCCCCGGCAGCTTTCTGCGACAGCATCACCCTTAGAGCCAGAATCACACGCTTTGAGCTGTTTGTGAATGGCAAGAATGATCAAATTCACCCTCTCCCGCTGTGCACGGCTACTCGAAGGGGGGCACCAGTACAGCCTGGCCCGCCAGCGCCCTCGGACCATTGAGCTTGATGGCCATGACCCTGATGGTCGTCTTGATCGTCGCCACATCCGCGTCCGTATGGCCCCTACCCCTCTCCAGCAGCACCCTAAGCTGGTCGCACAGCTGGAACCACCTTGCCGAGGCCCTATTTGTGTCCTGCATGGCGGGGCACCTGTTGAGGAAGTGGAACTCGCCGCCGCAGATGATGCACGTCTGTTCGCTCGGCGCCTCGTCGCTCTCAGCCACGCTTTCGGCGACGCTGCCGTCGACCGAGGGCGCTACCGACAGCCGCGGCGTACCGGCACTGCTGCGGCTCGACTTGATGCGTGGCTTGCGCGAGCTCACCACCACATCCATGCTCAGCCGGCCCAGATCGCGACGCGACACGTCCACCGTGCGCGGACTGCCGCCCGAAAACGCCGCCAGCCGCGAAAGCGCCGCACTCACCCGGTTCGTAGGCTTGCCAGGCGACGCCACCGCGCTCGCAGCCATAGCCACAGTGTCCGGATCGACAAACCGACGCGCGTCGTCGAGGCTGTTTCGAACCGACAGCTTCGCCTGCAGATACGGAGTACGCTCCATACGGCCCTCCATAAAGCCCTGCACGAAAAGCACCACCGAAGGCGCCGATCTCGACGTCGGATTCTCCACCGCCAACCGTGCCGTCTTGGTCAGCTCCTCGTCCCCGCGCGACTGGACCGCCTCCAGCCACGCCTGGCGCTTCGCCGCATGCACCAGCACACCCGCCGCCGCCGTAATCGTCTGCGGCGCCAGCACCTCGCGGTCGGGCGGCGGCGAGTCGGCGATCTCGATCACCGCCGGTGCCACCTGGGCGCGCTTCTTCTCCCACTCCATGATCGCGCGCACCCACGGCGCCTCGCTCTTGGGCGTGCGCAGCGCCACCACCATGTACGTCGCGGTGCGCACCAGCAGCTCGCGGATCTTGCGCCAGTCGAGCGCAATCGCACCACCGTACGGCAGCGCCAGAATCTCGGGCGGGATGCTCTCCTCGGGGATCTTGCTGAACGCCGCATCAAACACCGGACGCGGCACGCCGAACGACTGCATGTAGTAGTCCACATGCGTCTCGGTCAGCTGGAAACGCATGCTGGGCGGCGGCACGTCCGGCGCTCGCCCGCTCGCCGCGCGCTCCGCCACGTCGCGCGCAAAGTCGTGCTCCGGCAGCAGCGTCAGCAGCACACGCCGCATCGCCGCCAGATGGCCCGGCCGGATCGCCGACACGGGCTGCGACGCGTCCAGATCGTGCAGCGGCGATGGCGACGGAAGCCGGTGCTCGGCGATCAGCTCCCGCTGCAGACCGGCCAGCGTCGGCGGCCCGTTCTTGATCTTGGGCGAGGTGGCAGTCGCCGCGCCCTTGGACGTGCTCGCTTTGATCGCCAGAGGCCGAGCAGCCGTCGGCGCTGGTCGAGACGCAGGTCGAGGCGCAGGGGGCGCTGCGAGCACACTTGGCACAGCCGTAGCGCCAGCTGACGAGCCAGCCGCAGAAGACTGGGCGGCAGACTGGGCGACAGACTGGGCGGTAGCAACCGTTACTGCTGTGGCCGCTGCCGAGACCGCGACCGCGACCGCCGCCGCAGCCGCAGCGACGGCGGCGTTGGACGAGTTAATCTGGCGCCTGCGCAGCGCCTGCACCGCCGGCAGGTCCTCCTCGTCCTGGAGCACCGCATCGATCATCTCGTAGTCGTCGCTGTCGCTGCCGGCGTCCGCTGTGGCCCTCCAGTCCTCGTCGACAACTTGCTGGGGCACCTTCTTGGGACGCCCGCGCTTGCCCTTGGCAGGCGCAGGCTCCGCCTCCTTGTCGGCTTCCTCCTCGAGCATGCTTCGGATACGATCTCGTCGCGACGCGCGCTTCTCGGCCAGCTCCTTCTCGCGCGCCTCGGACGCGCGCTTGGCTGCATCGTCGCGGTGCTTCTGCAGCAAGTCGGCCCAGAAGTCGTCGTCGACCACAGCGGTCGGTGCAACGGCAGCCGTGGTCGCCGCCGACGCGTCGGCCTCCCAAACGCGTGCATACGAGAAGGTGCCCTTGTCCTCGCCGTTAGCCTGCACAGCTGCATCTGCGACCGGCTCGTCCTCCGCATCCTCCCTGCGCATGAGTAGCGAGTCGAGATCCTTGTCCGAATACCGCACGTCGCGCTCCGACTCCTCGGTGCCGCCCTCGGCAAAGAGCGCCTGTGCGCCAAACTTGAGGATCGACTCGAGCTCCATGGGCGTCTCCTCCTCGTTGTTGAGGTTCTGCACGATGAGGTGGTCGAGCATCATCTTGCGCTTGGCGCCCTGCAGGATGCGCTCCTCGACGGTGGCCTTGCACATGAGCGTGAACACGAGCAGCTTCTTGGTCTGGCCGATGCGGTGGGCGCGCGCGATCGCCTGCATGTCCACGTGCGGATTCCAGTCCGGATCCATGATGATCACCGTGTCGGCCGTGGCGAGGTTGATGCCCACGCCGCCGGCGCGCGTGCTGATCATGTAGACAAAGTAGGGCGAGTCCGGCGCGTTGAACGCGTCGATGCCCTTCTGGCGCTGCTTCTGGCCCACGTCGCCGTCGAGCCGCAGGAACTTGTACCCCTCGCCGCGCAGGAAGACCTCGACGATGTCGAGGTTGATGACGAACTGCGAGAAGAGCAGGATGCGGTGGCCGCCGGCCTTGAGCTTGGGCAGCAGCCGCTGGAGCAGCGACAGCTTGCCGCTCGCATCGATGAGGCGCTGGTGTTCCCAGGTCGCCTCGTAGTTGGCCTCGTCCTCGCGCGTCTCGAGGTCGGGCGCGATGAGGTATGGGTGCTGGATGCACTTGCGCAGCTGCATGAGCGTGTTGTTGAGGTTGGTGAACGTGCTCTTCTTGTTGCGCTTGCCGCCGGGCCCGCGCGAGGCAGCGAGCGCCTGGATGTCTTCGACGTTCGACTCGAGAATCGAGCGGTAGATACGCTTCTGGATAGGACGCAACGACGTAGGCACGATGAGCTCGATCTTGGGCGGCAGATCGAGCACCTCCTTTTTGAGACGACGCAGAAAGTAGGGCCTGAGGCGCTGCTGCAGCTCTTCGATCACCTCGGGCTTAAGCGCGCTGTACTCGGCCTCGAGCGCCTTGACGTCCTTCCACTGTCCGCCGGGCTCGAGCCAGTTGAGCAGATTGAAGAGCTCGGTGGTGTTGTTGTTGAGCGGCGTGCCCGTCATGATGACGCGGTGCTCGGCGTGCAGCTCGTTGAGCCGCTTGAGCAGCAGCGACTTGCCGGACTTGAGATTCTGGCCCTCGTCGACGATGATCACGTCCCAGCTCTCGACCTTGCGGAGCGGCAGCGAGTCGAGCCTCACGGTCGAGTCGGCAGCGACGACCACGTGGAACTTGATCGCACGCGTCGCCTCGTCCATCTGGGCGAGCGCCTTTTTCGAGTGGAAGAACTCGTAGCGCGAGATCATGTCGCGCGCCTCGGACTCGCCCCAGTACGGCACGACGCGGAACTGGGACATCCACTTTTCGAACTCGCGCATCCAGTTGGGCAGCGTCGAGTTGGGCACGACCACGAGGAACGGCCCAGCCTTGCCCTCCTTCCAGAGCGAGGCGAGGAAGGTGATGACCTGCACGGTCTTGCCGAGACCCATCTCGTCGGCCAAGATGCCGGGCTTCTGGTGGTACCAGCCGTAGCGCAGCCAGTTGACGCCTTCGAGCTGGAAGTCGATGAGGTCGCCGCCCTGGACGCACGACGGCTGGTCGTCGAGCGCCCGGAAGCCCGAACCGGATCGGGCGAGGCGACGTTCGCGCTTCCTCCGCTTTTCGTCCTGCGTCAGCGCGGGGAAGACGATCTGCTGCGCCACCAGGAAGGCGCGGTAGGCCTCCTGGGCTTCGTAAAAGACGTCTGCCTGCTTTCGGCGCGTGGGTGGATCCTCCCAGGTGGCGCCCTCGTAGGGCTGGTCCTGCCACTTGATGTACAGCTTTGCCACATGCTGCCAGCTGCGCAGGTAGTCGGAGGGGTCGAGCTTGTGGCGAGAGATGGAGTCCGAATCGACCATATCCCCACTCCGCTCGTCGTCGCCATCTTCATTCTTCATGGAGGAGTAGAACTTGACGGCGAGGATGCGGTCGGGCGTCTTCCACGCCTTGGGGATGCGGCGCTGCGCATCGTGCATGGGAGACGGCGGCCCGACATCGACGTCGCCCTTGTCGTCGACCTTGAGCGTCTTTTTGATCGAGCGCGTCACAGCGCGGCCCTCGACAAGCGCACGACCTGCGCCTCCACCGCCAAGTGCGAGAGAAGCTCGGCTCTTGCGCGCGTTTGCGAGCGCCTGGTCGGACTCGACGAGCTCGGCGGGCTCGAGCTCGAGACGGCTGCCCTTTGCGAGGAATTGCATGAGCGCCATCTGGTGGAGGATGCGGAGCCAGTCGTGGGGCACCCATTCGGTCTCGCGGTACGAGCGGTCTTTGAACTTGACGAGGTACTCGCGCGGCAGGTTCTCGCGCGGATGCAAGGCGGCATAGGCGCGGTTGGAGTCGTCGTTCCACTGGCTGCGATCGAGCGGGCGCCATGCGATGATCTTGTCCACGGCAGGCCAGCGGTGGCAGTCGGCGCAAAGCCAGCCGCCGTCCTGGGCCAGTTTGGCGGCGTGTTCGGCCGAGGGGTCGTCTTGGTCCGAGGCGCGTGCGATGCACTCGTAGTGGCTGGGACGAGAGCAGCGCCTGCAGCGGAAGAGCCTGGTGGCTGTGAGGTTGGTGGGCGGCTTTGGGTAGGCGTCGAGCATGGCCTGTGTGATGCCGAGCTGCTCCTCGGTGGTACGATGGCCGTTGACGTCGGCCTTGCAGTGGATGCAGTGGGCAGCGTAGCCGGCGCAGTCGGGGCAGGAAGCAGTGTTGACGAACTCGTCGACGTCGATGCGGCGGACGGGATCGGGAGGCGGCGCAGACTGGCCAAAGATGGAGCGATGGCGACGGGTGGCCTCTGTGTTGATGGTGTGCAGGATGGATTTCTGGGAATCGAGCGGAAGGCAGCCCCAGTGCCAGGAGACGGAGCAAGTGCTGCACTCGAACCAACCTCCGCGGTCCTCGAGCACTTCCATCCATTCCTGAGTCTGCTGGACTGGCGTGAGGGCGCCCCAGGCGTCGTCGATGAGCGCCTTGCGCTGGCGTCCGCGCGAGTCGATGCGGTCGGGCGACTTGTTGAGGCGCTTTTTCTGCTCGCGCGTTTGCTGTCTCTTGAGTGTGGTGAGCGACTTGTTGTAGAGCGGCAGAGCGGGGCCGTCTTTGCAGCGCTTGCAGCCGGGCCAGTGTCGGTCGATGCACGGCTGGTCTGCGGCCATGAGCTCGGCCTCTTCGGAGTAGGAGGCGGTCGAAGTGTAGCCCTGCTCGCTCGCAGACTCGTCTTCTTCTTCTTCTTGCTCGGCCTCGTGCTCGGACGAGCTGCAGATCGCGGGCACACCGTCGATGAAGGTGTGGTCTTCCAAAAGCGTGGTCTCGGTGGGTATGTCGATGACGGGCGGGGTAGGGTTGTCGGGCTCATCCAAGGAAGGCTCGGGCAGCTCCTGCTGGAGTGCGAATCGCATCTTTGGCGGGCGCTGTGGACGGCTGGAAGCCTTTCTGCGAGGAGCCCTGCGGGCGTTTGTGCGCCTTGTCGACGTTGCCGAGGAGCGAGGCGCGTTGCGTGGGCGCTTGGAGGCTTTGCTAGATCTGGAGGGTGCGGAACGCTTGTTGTTGGCGCGGCGGATGAATTCGACTTCGTCGGAGTCGACGAGCTCGTCGTCCTCTGACTCGTCGTCGTTGGACATGTGTTGGTCTTCGTCGGTGCTGGTGGAATCGTCGTCGTTGAGGTCCATCCAATCGTCCGTGTCGTCCCTCTTGACTTTGGGTCGACGGGCGGTTGGGCGCTTGGCGCGAGGATTGGAACGGGTATGGCGATTCCTGGAGCGTGCACTGCATCCGAGAGTCAGGTCGTCGTCGTCGTCGTCGTCGTCGTCCTCTTCATCTTCTTGCTCCTCTTCTTCTTCCTCGGCATCGTCATCCTCGTCTTGCTCTTCGTCGTCGGACTCGATGGCGGCGGCCTTTTGTTGTCTTGTGGAGACCCTGCGTGTGGGTCTGGATGGTGCGGCAGATCTGGTGGAGCGCTTGTTGTTGTGCTGCGGAGGATCGTCGTCGTCCGAGTCGTCGACGACAAAGTCTTCGAGCCCGCGGAGCTTCCTGCTCGCAGGAGCCCTTGTTGTGGAACGGCGACCGTGGTCTCCGTCGTCCGAGTCGACGTCCGAGTAGTTTGCTAAGAGAGGGCGACGCGATCGAGTGGCGCGAGCGGGAGGAGGGGCAGGTGCGGCGCGCGAACGTGTTTGCTTTTGGGAGGCGACGGCTGAGCCGCGTCGGAGGCGGCGGGTTTGCGTGGACTGAGAGACTTGTGGTGAATCGGAGCTGGCCTGGTCGTCGTCGTCGTCGTCGTCGTCGTCGGAATCAACGGGGCTGAATCTGCGACGTGGCGCACTGCGGCTGCTGGAACCATTGGTGTGGCGAGCTGCTTGGCCACGAGACGAGGTTGTGCGTGTGGCCGACTTTGTGCGCGTGGTGGAGGTTTGCGCTCGATATGCGCGCTTGGACTGGGTGGCCTTCTTGGGCGAATCTGTCCTGAAAGCGGCGAACTCCTCGTCGGACGAGAGGAAGGAGAGGTCGATCGCAGCGGGCTCCTTCTTGGTGCGCGTTGCGCGTGATGCGGGCGGCATGATGAGCCCGCTAGTCGTGTACAGTGTGTCGTGGCAAAGCGACCATCGAGACGACCTCGGAACAGAGAGCGTGTGAGGGTAGAGAAGGAAGGTGCGGGTGTGGGTGCGCGGACGACCGACAAAAGGCGCGCGTGAACGAGGTGGTCGTGGCCAGGCACGCATGGACGGACCCTGCGCAGCCTCCGAGCTTTTTCAGACAGCCGCTTTCCGGATTTCGGAGAGTCGGCTGCTCAGCCATCTGAGCCTGCTGCTGGTCAGAAGAGCGTGTGTGCCTTTCTTGCGGAAGCACGGCAGCAGAGCAGCCAACACTCAACGCGACGCGACTGGAATCCGAGCAGCAGCAGCCAACACTCGAAAGAGAGAGAGCAACGCAGCCAACACTTAATTTGGCGCCGTCTTGGCTGGCCTCTTCGCATCGCCTCCTCCTCCTCCTCCTCCACACACTTCCCGCAACTCTGCTCGCAACATGACGCAAACCATGGACTCGGGCTCGTCTGCTACGCCATCCGGCACCATGGGCTACGAGCTTCCCTGGGTGGAAAAGTACCGACCCTTGAACCTCGACGACGTAGTTGGCAACAAAGACACCATCGACCGGCTCAAGGTCATCCAGAACGACGGCAACTGTCCGCACCTGCTCATCTCGGGTCTTCCGGGTATCGGCAAGACAACCTCGGTGCTCTGTCTCGCACGTGCGCTGCTCGGTGATGCATACAAGGAGGGAGTGCTCGAACTCAATGCCTCGGACGAACGCGGTGTGGATGTGGTTCGCAACAAGATCAAGACGTTTGCGCAGAAGAAGGTGTCGCTCCCCGCGGGTAGGCATAAGATCGTCATCCTCGATGAGGCCGATAGCATGACGCCCGCAGCTCAGCAGGCACTCAGAAGGACCATGGAGATCTACTCGAATACGACGCGCTTCTGCTTTGCCTGCAACCAGAGCAACAAGATCATCGAACCCATCCAATCCCGATGCGCCATTCTGAGGTACGGCAAAGTCAAGGACGAACAGATCCTCAAGAGGTTGCTCGAGATTTGCGAGATGGAAAAGGTCGAGTATACAGACGAAGGGTTGGCAGCTATCATTTTCACCACCGAGGGCGATATGCGTCAAGCCATCAACAACCTCCAGTCTACTTGGACCGGTTTGGGATTCGTCAATCCCGAAAACGTATTCAAGGTCTGCGATCAACCCCATCCCTTCCTCATCCGTGCACTGCTCACGGCGTGTCAGGAGGGTGACGTCGATCTGGCTATGGACAAACTCGACGAAATTTGGGCAAAGGGATATGCGGCTGTCGATATCGTCACCACCCTCTTCCGCGTGGTCAAGACCATAGACCGCATCCCAGAAGCCACCAAACTCGAATTCATCAAGGTAAGCCCTCGCCCCCCTAACCCTCCCATCTGTGTCGTTGCAATTGGCTAACCTGCTCGTTTGTCTTTGTAGGAAATCGGATGGACACACATGAAGATCCTCGAAGGCGTGGCTACCGTGGTCCAACTCGGCGGCCTCATCGCCAGACTATGCAAACTCGTAAGTGCCCCGCCACTCTCTCCCACTTATCAGCCAGCTCTCGCTAACCTTGCCTGCCTTGGCCCTACAGAGCATCGATCCAAAGCAATTCCAAGTCTGATCCCTTCATCCACCAATGTAGCTGCAGCCCTACACTACGCTGCCATCCTGTACTTTTACACATCCTGCAATCTCTTTTTCTCTCCACACACATTTCTGGGCGTGACCTTTTCGGGATTACAGCAAGACTCGAGCATCGACATCAAAGGTAAGGCGGGATTCCGCACCGAGTCGCAAGAGGGAGCAAATGAATCAAAGCGAAACAACGAAAAGCGGGGCGAATGAAGCCAAAAATACAAGGAGCGGATCAAAGCAAACAAGACGACAAGTGGTATCCAGAGGACAGAGGCTCAACCGGACCAGCGCTTCGAGTCAGCAAACGGGTCGCGGCGCGACGACGACGCGCGGTCGTAGTCGTAGTAGTCGCCCTCGCCGCCCCTCTGCACCTCTTCGTACGGCGAGTACGGGCGACCTGCACCGCTGTTGACCGCAGCAGCATCCAGCCCCCTCGTGGCGCGGTTGTTGTACCCAGCGCTGGACGATCCGTCGTAGTAGTTGACATCGTAGATCCCCTGGTCATCGCTATACGGCGAAGCCCCACGCCCGGCCGCAGCGTCGTCGACGTACATGCTGTCCGTGACGCGGTGCGCGGGCGGGAAATCGTCCTTGCCCCCGCGCTGCGAGCCGTAGTTCCTCAGCCTACTCGAAGCCGGGCCCACTGCCGCGTACGGTGCCACCTCCTGCATGGGCGGCGCCCCCTCGCCGTACGCTTCCTCGGTCAGCGTGCTCATCGGTCGCGTCGCCTCGAACGACTCGTAGCTCGCCCGGCGGGGACGGTCACGCACCAGACCATCCGCCGCTCCTCCCACCGCGAAAGCCGCTCCACCCGCTGCCAGGCCGCTCGCCATGTTGCGGTGGTGGTACTCGTGGTCGATCGGACGCAGGCGAGGATCAAACTGCTCCTGCTTGCGCTTCCTCACGCGACGAATGATCGTCCATGCCACAGCGATCACCGCCACCGACGCGGCGATCACCACGATGGGCACAACGACTTTGGTCGTTCCGTCGCTGCTCGACGAGCCGCTCGAGTTGGCGCGGTTCACGCCCGTAGCCGCCGCACTCGCGCTGCTGCGAGACGCTCCCAGGGTGGCAGCCGCCAGACTCGCCTGGGCCTGCGCGCTCGACTGCGACGCCGCCGCTGCCGACAGCAGGCTCTCGGCTGCCGCAGCCATCGAGGCCGACGCCGACGCAGCAGCAGAGTTGGCGCTCGTCGCCGACGCCGCCGCTCCGGATGCAGCCGCCTGCACGGGCGACGCACCGCTGCTGCCCTGGTTCGACC